TTAACCTGTATTATTGTACCACGAAAAAAAAACTGATGTTATTTAAACGAACGATTCGTTGTTGTTTATTCATACAGAATGTGCCTTTGCCTTCATCTTCTTGCCCAATAACGATAAAACTGTGTTATCACTTTGTGACTATTTTAATAAGACAAATAATATCGTACAAAATAATGTTTTCGTTTGATTTAAAAAATAAAATAATCTGTAATAATCAAGAACCTGAAAGATGACCAAAGAAATAGAAATCGATCAGCACACTTAACTAAACAGCGCCCTCAGTGGCACAGCGGTATGTCTGCGGACTTACAACGTTAGAAACCGGGTTTCGATACCCGTGGTGGGCAGAGCACAGATAGCCCATTGTGTAGCTTTGTGCTTAATTCCAAACAAACAAAAAACTAAATAGCGGGACTGGCTGTCACATTTGTAACGCATTCAAAGCTAAAAGTATTAAGCATGTTCAGCATCATATTACAGTCTCTATGTTGTTATGAAAAGTAATACTAATATTGACAGAAAAGAAAAAACTTCAAAGATTAATTTGAATAATTTACATAATACATACAAAACGGATAAAATATCTTACACTATTTTATTTTTCAATGTATTTCTTTTAACTTTTACCCTGCAGATATTCTGTATGTTTTCTATAGTTATATGATGCATTCATATTTTTGCATCCTATCCAAATCAGCGGCGAATAATTTAAGTGATTATTCCGGCATCAACCCTGACTGTAGATTTAGCTTAAATGATTAATCCGACATTCAGTCTGACTACAGATTTAGTGAAGATGGTTAATCCGACATATAAGTTTGACTGCATATTTAGCTTTGTTGGTTAATCCGGCATACAGCCTTAGTGCAGATTTAGCATAGATGGTTAATCCGACATACAGCCTGAGTGCAAATTTAGCGTAGGTAGTTAATCCGAAATACAGCCTGAGTGCAGATTTATTGTGTATGGTTAATCCGGCATACAGCCTTAGTGCAGATTTAGCATAAATGGTTAATCCGACATACAGCCTGAGTGCAGATTTATTGTGTATGGTTAATCCGGCATACAGCCTTAGTGCAGATTTAGCATAAATGGTTAATCCGACATACAGCCTGAGTGCAGCTTTAGCGTAGGTAGTTAATCCGACATACAGCCTGAGTGCAGATTTAGCGTAGGTGGTTAATCCGACATACAACCTGAGTGCAGATTTAGCGTAGGTGGTTAATCCGACATACAACCTGAGTGCAGATTCATTTACCCTTTGTTTGCTGTACAGTCATATAGATTAATTACTAGTTAATCTCCTCATAATAACACTAGTGTGATTAGGGTAGTCATTTAACTTGTACGATATTCTCGAGAGACGCTCGCATCATTTATGCTGTAGAACCATTGCAAGAGAAATGAAATCCCGAACAGGTTCCAAGCAATGTATCAGTTTTAATATTGGTATAAGTGATTAGTTTTTTGAGTTTGCTTCCGGTTATCAGCCATGTTTGTATTTTTTGACGTCAGAGTCATAGGATACTGGCATGTATATCCGGAAAAAATCACCCTTGCACATAAACCATACGGATTACCAAAAAAAAAAACTTTTCGACAACATTTATAAAGATTGATACTTGCATTACTTACCTTATGAGTTGAGATTCAGAGAGAGAGTACGTAAATAACCATTTCTATCGCTTCGTTTAAAGTAAAACCAACCGTCTGTTTTCTTTTTACTTGTCGTTTTTTGAATTTTGTACAATTGTATGTTTTCTTATTTTTTAGCATACTTCGATATCAAAATATGCACAATATTTAAACTTTAATAACATGTATTATTTACTCTAAAATTAACATATATTATTAATAAAAATAATAATTTTTTCAATTCGAACGTTCATAGTCATTCTTTGAAAAGCATTTATTATACATGGAAGGGGTCATTTACTATTCATTGAACTAAGATTATATACTTAATGAAATCGAGTGTATATATATACATATGTATACGTATGTTTCTTGATGGATTCTTTTTGAAAGGAACATCTTTTTATTTTCCTTTACCATATGATACTTCATTCATAAGTTATAATATAAGAGTACAATGTCTTCAGTTGTCTTTTTTTGAAGATTGTTTGATATCTGCTTTAGAGCATTCTTTCTTACCCGTGACGACTTCAACTGTCTTTTAGGAATATGGTATTTGCATTGGCTTGCAGTTCATAGAAGAATAAGTCCCTAAAGGTTAAGGAATACCGGCTTGAGCGGAGGAAACAAAAGTTAAAATTGTAAATAAAAGTTGTTGTTCAAGATCAATATAATAAAAATACTATAGGGGTCGGGGGGGGGGGGGTATGACTCCAGAAAATGTGCAGTCTATAAACTTCAAATGGAGCAATTTCTGGAACAATAGTAAAACGCAGATATGTAGTGTATGGCAGCCTTAAAATAATTAACAAGTAGTAGCCTAGTCCTACCAGGCGTAGATCTAGGGGAAGCCTACTCTAGTTCCTCCGCCTGTGAACACCGAGTGATTATGACGGTGGTATTATAAGCAACTATGGTAAAACAATTGTTCCCAAAGTTGCGTAAATGGGCTAAGCAGAGTGGCTTTGCTTAGACTGTTTTTATAAACTGTCATGTTTCTAGCATTATAGAAATTGACTTGCAATCCTAACACATGCATTGGTCTCACGAGTTTATCAAAATACTTAAATACATATATAATACACGTGTGTATATATTTCTTCTTTCAAATCAAATACCAATTGTACAGTCACATACGTTCGTTAAGGGGCCACTTATTCGTCGAAAGACGTTTTGGTTATCCCTATTCCTCGGCTTCCTTATCTCTATAGCCTCTGGTCTTTTTACTATTGAGCACGTTCTCGTTATCTTTTCTCTTTCTTTTGTTGTTTCCATTTCAATTTTCTTATCGCCACAGTTTTTTTCCTTCTCTTTTCTTGATTCTGTCAGTCTATACCGCAGTCTTCTCATTTCTCCTTGATACACACTTACTTACTTCTGTATTCACCGCTACACACAGTAAACGCTATTATCTCCTTTCATAGCCAGGTGTGTCTCGTGATTTTTTGAACACGAGCCACGTGGTCAAAGTCTGCGTAATGAGTCTCTTGGCTGAGTCTCTTGACTGTGTGTGTGTGTAACATTTCACTACTTTCAAAGTAAGGCACTTAAAGTGTGTTAAAAGAAACGCTCATTTCGGTCTTTCACTGCTTCTTTACGCGCTTATAATTATCAGACTTGATAAGTAATACATTGACATAAAAAATTAACTCGAGACACTGATATTCGGAAGACAACTAGTCAACAGCACCCATCGCCAAATCTTGGGCAACTCTAACAGTGGAATTTAACTGTCACTCTAATAATTCACCTACGGCCACAAAGTGCGAAACGTGATTTTTTCGACGTGAGACTCGAACCGGGGATTCACGAATCCACAGTCCGCGAGCTAACCTCTAAGCCACGCCCAACCCGTCTTAAGACACATTCGTCAACTAGTTAAAAATGAATTGTCGTTTTGCGCAAAGCTTCACAATAAGCTATCTACGTTCAGTCCACCGCGGGAAGTAGATCCCCGAATCTTAGTGTCAATCCGTAAATTTGCCGCTTACTCACTGGGGAGACAAATAAATAGTCAGTGAATATGAACACAGATGAAATAAAGTTATTAAGGGGGGACGTGAAGAATCTATTTAGGAATACATTTCACAGGTGTAGTATTATACTTACGTTATTTTATGATATTTTTCGATAACGAAGTTAACAGAAGGTTTCAATCATATTTACAATTCTTTTTTTTTTCGTATTTTGTCTGCATTGTATTCATAAAATCTCGTCTATATCAAATTAATTATATTAATACTCACAATCATAAAAGGTCACTTTTCTTTTTCTATATAAACATTCCTGTAGTTAGACTTGTTCATCTTCCTAATGATAAGATAATCATCGTTTTCCTACAACAAAACATGTGATGAAAAGGCATATTTACATGCAAGTTATCAGAAAAAAGTAAATATAACGTGAAAATTGAAATACTTTTGATAACAATATTATAACAGCAACTACTGGCACACATAAGTGAAACCGAATATTTGGGATAATAATAATAATAATTTGAATTAAGCACAAAGTGGTAATTCTTGTCGTGGCATTTTCCCTAATGTTAAGCTCTCCTACCCGAGGCCATGTTTAGACCGCCGACTTCATCCATTTGTTAGGCTGTTGACAGTTCTTGCTATTCAAACGTTTTAGGCAGTAAACAAAAAAGCAAACAACTTTTCAATACTATAGGCTACTACTGGTAGTAGTAATGGGGTAGTGTCTTGTGAAGCGTTCGGAACCTAGTGGAGAGACACAACAGATCTATGTCAAGTAGACCCTTTATGCATGCGGTTTCTAACATTGTAAATCCGCAGACATACTGCTGTGCCACTGGAGAACAATAGTTCATGTATCTTTATTATGCAATATTTCGAAGAAGCTTATCTTGGTGAAAGACATCCAGTAAATTATTCTTTAATGTATGACGTCAGTACATGTTATTCCAGTAGGACAAAAACTGAAGACATTTTATTAAGTCTGTTGTATTATTAATTGAAATACAATATTTAAGTATTCAGCTTTGACCTTATATTGGATACCTGGGGTCCTTACGACCAGGCATTTCATTCTGTTATAGTCTACAGCGTCGTTCACATCCATGACTAGCCATGTGAACCCAGTTGGCGTTTCATTTGTTTTCATTTCTCAACTACGGCAGATATTTTCCCACCCATGTCACATTCGCACAGCCATTGAAACCGTTTGGAAGCCAGTTCGCACTCTGCTTTGTGGATGAGTTTGAATTCCATGCCGCTTGAGGACGCTCTTATCAGTCGCCTCACACCTGCGTCCAATGAGAAAGAGCTTCACGTGAGGAAAACGCAAGTGCTCAGAACAGTTGCATCGTCTGCTTACGTTGGGCATTCGATTGTAATAGCAAGACGAGATAGGTCAGCGAGGTGGTAATTCTTGTCGTGGCATTCTCCCTAATGTTAAGCTCTTCTACCCGAGGCCATGTTTAGACCGCCGACTTCATCCATTTGTTAGGCTGTTGACAGTTCTTGCTATTCAAACTTTTTAGGCAGTAAACAAAAAAGCAAACAACTTTTCAATGCTATAGGCTACTACTACTAGTAGTAATGGGGTAATGTCTTGTGAAGTGTTCGAAACCTAGCGGAGAGACACAACAGATCTATGTCAAGTAGACCCTTTATGCATGCGTGTAGACTTAGTGTTTACAGACATCTTCACTATGAAATCTGTGTTTGTACTGTTGAAAATTACCCACCATAGTGTTTTTGTTTGGGACGTTATGATAGGTCAACTTAACTGGTACTAGTTAGTAAACAAGATTTGGTTTTTAGGGTCTAATTTTATAATACCAAAAGACAGGAAAAGAAACCTGGAGACACAGTGGCAGTGACCGGTAAGTTGATTTGTTTTCACTGTGTAAATTTATATTGGAGCTAAAAGTTGGTTTATTTTATTTTATTTTTTTTAGTGTCTAAACCGTTTAGGCACAACACACATACCTGAAAAAAAAAAAGATTTGTACAAATGTTAAAGGAACCTCCCCTCCCTACTACAACACTATTGGATTCGAAACAGAATCACTATTATATTTATTTTATTTTTTGCTTTATGATTTATGTAAAACTGAGAAGACGAAATTTGTATCTTTTTTTTTTGTGCCACTTTCTTTACGTACGTACCTAATTTTGGTTTTAACGAAAATATTTGTGTCACTTTCTTTAAACACGTACCAAATTTTGGTTTTAACGAAAATATGTGTGTCACTTTCTTTAAACACGTACAGAATTTTGATTTTAACAAAAGTATTTATCATTTTCTTTCAACAAATACAAAATTTTGACTTTAACGAAAATATGTGTGTCACTTTCTTTAAACACGTACAGAATTTTGATTTTAACAAAAATATTTATCACTTTCTTTCAACAAATACAAAATTTTGACTTTAAAGAAAATATTTGTATCATGTTCTTTAAACATGTACACAATTTTGCTATTTTGACTTTAACAGAAGTATCTAAACTGGCCAAAATACGTTTGACCAACATTAAAATTGAAGTTTTACGAAACAAATTGTCATTTTATGGTTTTAGGCCAAAGGACTGAGTGTGAAAGAACACTTTTTTTATATGCATTCTGATAATTAACTCTTGCCAAATTATATGACATTTAACAAGACATCCAACTCTTTTTAAAAGAACAAAATGAAGAATATTTTACTATAATGTAAAGATTTTTTCTTGTTGTTGCACATACAGCGAAAACAAAAGTTTTACAAGAGTTTGAATGGATATATCCATCTTGCATTTCAAGGATTACCGAGTTTTTAATGTGTTTAGATAGATTTTTAGACGATTTTCACTTTCATGACTAAATAGCATTTTCAAGAGCAGAGAGGATTAAATTGAAACTACGTTCGTTGCTTTTGTAGTGATGTTTTAAAGTTCATATATTTAATATTTAGTTTCTAATATCGATGATTAAGTTACTCTGAAAGTCAAAGCACGTCATTTAGGATCACTAGGTACATTTGTGACAGTAATAAACAAGTAGATTGTTCAACGTAATAAAGCGTATTGTTGAATGTACACTGAAAGTCAAATCACATCATTTAGGATCACTAGGTACATTTGTGACAGTAATAAACAAGTAGATTGTTCAACGTAATAAAGTGTATTGTTGAATGTTTCTGTATATCGAGAATTGATGTAATTATATAATCGAATTATTAGAAATCCAGACACCTGACAAATTCAATTCCTTGGTATTTTAAGTGGTACCTTCATGAAAATGTGGCGAAGAAGAGTTGATTCACACGTGTTTGCAACGTAATTGTGTACTGATCATAGTAATTCCAGAATAACTTGCCGCCAGATTTCGTGGCCAACGTAACCAGAGTATTGACAACGTATTCGAAACATCCCCCCTCTTTTTTTTTACATTAGTGATGATAATAGTTATTAAACTTTATAAAACATAGTCTATAAAGTCTTTCTTTTTTTTTTTTGCTTTTGTAGGCGACGCATGCACAAAATGTGACGTTAGATATTCTCACAAAACAAAGTGTGCTTAAAATTAATATGGAAAACGTTTTCATGAAAAACAAAATACACGTTTTAACCAATGTCAAAAACAAAGTAATTGAAATAACGGCTAAAATCATTTGGTTCGTGACACTAACCAAAGACCATTAATTTGAAACAGGGGTGAAATTCTGCCGGTACTCGCCGGGACTGAGTTCCAGAACTTGTTTTTAAGGCGGTACTAGTACCGGGACTTATTTGAGCTACTTTGTCGTTTTTTATATTTCCACATAGAATTTTTTTCAAAAACAGGTCCACTTCACCCAGCTGAGTACCTCTACTTTGTTTTTTGAGAATTTCACTCTTGGTTTTAAATTTCTGGATGTTTTTGCTATGGGTTAGTTCTGTGTGAAAACAAAAACTCAGACAGCATCCTATATACATAATATCATGATTAAATTTGAAGAAATAAAACTGTGTGTCGCTGTAAACCCTTTTTAAGTATTTGACCCTTTGACGTAAACATTTTGGTAAGTTAGGGTTTAAATCGAGTAAGGCAGTAAGCAAAATTAACCAGATTTCCTTTCTTTTGTCGCCTCTTTTCATTACTTGTTTGTAATTTAATGTAATAGCATCTCAGTATTTAACAACCGAGTGAAAATGGCCAATGTTAAGAAAACAGAATGAAACGTTGTCCTTAAACTAAGAATTAATCGAACTGTTTCGGACGTGCAGATAATCACAATTTTTTTTATTTTAAAAATTGTGACTTCTTGAGAATGTTTGGTTACCGATAACTACAGGCCAAGTTTGTATGCATAAATATATTACATTAAGAGTAATATTAGTTAAACTTTTTGAGAGTATTTTGTTCACTTTAAAATACTGCCCAGATGAGAGTACATATTCGCGGATCTTATCTCATGCGTCGCCGCCACCACCGTGTTTATGTTCCGGGAGATATTTACATGAGTGGGAAGTTAATGACGGGGTTTTCGAAGATCATTCCGAGTCCAGAACTGAACTTAGTTTACAGTTAGAAATAAAAAATTGTTGAATTTTTCATGCTTATACTTCATCGTATCATCGGCTTGTTTAAACTAAAGCTCCAAACGGTTTGACAGCATATAATACAAAGATGTTTTGCAACAGTACACATAGGCCTATTTCTTGTTTAAATAATTTTAATGGTCGTATTTTTGTTTCTTTGATCCGTTATTTGCTGTTCTTTGACTTTTACCTCTAAAGCAGTAAATGTCCATTTCTTTATATTACAAAAACGATCGTTATCGAGTTTTAGTTTTACCGAGAAATGTATGGTAGAAACATTTCGTAACATTTCTGTGCCTTGCGTAATATTATATTGTCGTAACGTTGTTTATTCGTTGAGCGAATTCCTTTAAATTATTTTGGTGAAAAAAGTGCGAATTCCATTCCATATAACGATAACAAAATAGTTTTTTTTCCTTAACTTAGCTACAGGCTACTAATATTATCGCTTGTCAACATTTGTACTTGTAGGCCTCAGTTCATCAACAATATTTTCACTTTCAACTGAAATTTACTCGCTAATGGTAATAAGAGTAACGTAAAAATAAACTTACTTGTACAGTTTCACGGTTCGTCAATCGGGTAAATAAATCTGAGAGTCGCGCGTTCGAATTCCCGTCATGCTCGCCCTTCAGCCGTGTGAACATTATAATGGAACGGTCAATCCCACTATTTATTGATAAAGAGTAGCCCAAGAGTTGGCGGTGAGTGGTGCCTTCCTTCTAGTCTATCACTGCTAAATTCGAGGCAGCTAACGCGGATAGCTCTTGTATAGTTTTGCGCGAAATTCACAACGAACTTTTACAAACTTACTTGATATAACGTCACGCGCCCTCTACCAAAAAACAAATTACAGCACTGAAAATGTAGCTTACAACAGTTCAGTCTAAGAAATGTAATGTATAGGTATTTTTTGTGTTTCATTTATTCGTAAGTTATTTCATATCCTTTCCATTTTCACATTGAAAAGTTTCTTTTTGTTTTGTTCATGAATGTAAATATGCTTCACTTTATATTTTGGGGGAGGAGGGTAGCTATCTTGAACTTGTATGTATTATGTATTATTATATTTTTGTTATAAACAAAGAGTTATATTCATGAAAAGGGTTTGTTACGTATTGATATTCTTAGTGTGCTTTATTTCCTACTGAAGTGTGCATTAAGTTTTTCTCACTGTAATGTTGGAAGGGTGGTTTTTTATACTGCTAAAAACTGAATTTTGTGCTTTTGAGCTTTGTGTATGAAATAAATTGATCTGTTTTATTCTCTTAATTCTCATTTCAAGGGTTTTTATTTTTAAAAAAGATAATATGATTTTTTTCATGTTGTATTCGTTGTTAAATAGATAAATTTTTTATCATTTTATTAAGGTCATTTTTTAATTCTTTATTCATTTTTTGACATTTTCCTTAAAAAAAAACTTACTCGTATGCTGTTTAGGTTTTATATCTAACCTCAAGTGTTACATTTATTTGTTCTCCACGTTATTTCCGTATAATAGATGTCATAGGACAGTTATTCACGTGGGTGTGTCAACGTTTCCTGAACTGTTATATTTATTTGTTCTCCACGTTATTTCCGTATAATAGATGTCATAGGACAATTATTCACGTGGGTGTGCCAACGTTTCCTCAAGTGTTACATTTGTTTGTTCTCCACGTTATTTCCGTATAATAGATGTCATAGGACAATTATTCACGTGGGTGGGTGAACGTTTTGGGCCTCATCTTATATGTCATGGATTTCTTCGGTCATTTCTTGCCGCGCTTGTAAAGTTGTCTGTAATAATGTATTTGCATTTTATTTAACAAAGAATTACGAAGAAAAAACAAAGTCGTTGCCATGCTTACGTCTTTCTGAAACTATGCGGAAGTTTTACAAATACTTATAGTTATGTTAGTCATGGTCAACATATGTGTTTCGAGCTTTTCTAAAAAAAAGAGGTTACCATAGACAATTCACAAAAACGTGCCTTTAGTTACTGAGTGCAAAATAACACCGAGAGTCTTCGGAGAGAAAACCTTGTTCGCCCTAACAAACCACATATTAATTGTGATGGATTATAAAGTAAATCATTCCGTCTCCTAATTGATCGAGGGTTGTGTCTTGAATTTTGGTTGAACGTTATTGTCATAGGCCTAAAGCCCAATGGGACACGTGGTTACACAATGCCATGCAGAACGACACGAAAACCTGTCTGTTGTTAATTTCCGAAATCAGCTACCGTGACGCTTTCAGGAAGGTTGGAGAGTATTACAATTAAGCTAGGTGGCGTGCTTTGTTGAATCTGTACACGAGGTTGTAAAGAATTCATAAGAAAATGTTTCTTTTTTTATTTTCTAAGATGTGGATGATGAAATTAAAACAATGTTATTTGACCAACACCCACTCAAGTTTAAGCTTCCGCTAAACTGGCATAACAGGAAGACATAATGACTAACACTTGAAGACTCATAAAACGTTTTTGTTTTTTGCTATTTTCGTCATTTCGTCACCATAAAAGAATCGAGAATTTCTCGGGTCTAATTTTATTTCCCCATTACTCCTTAATTTCAACATCAAGACAGTAGTGGACACTCATAGGATGTAAGGAGGCTTAAGACTACCCTGCCCTCTTGTGGCACAGCTCTCATTGAGGGGTTATTTTAAAGTCTAAGCTGGAGTTGATTCCAAGTCTATCAAAAATCACGAACTTTGCTCTTGTCTCGCTGAATTTGTTTAAAATCTTCTCTGAAGAAATAATGGGTTGGTGATGACTCCACTATATTCATCAGTTCTTCGTTCTCAGGCTGTCGTCACAAAAGCAATTTTTCATGGTGTCTTTATCAAGGTCGCAAATTGTAACGTGGAACACGCACAATGATCAGTAACTTGATGTTAGTAGTATGAAATTTATCACAAGTTCGATGAGAAAATAAATGGCAACGCTTTAAAAATTATGGTTTGATTAAGATGATCTCTTTAACCATCTAGGTTCTGCGAACACACACACAAGTAACATTTCTGTCGGGTCATCAATCCACTTGACATTCACATACTTTTTCGCTGTCACTGTTGATTTATGTCACGTGCGTCATGCAGGTATTTGTTAAATAATAAAAAAGAAGAGATAACCATTTTGTTGTATACACCAATGGTTCTCAAACTCTTTTAGTCTGAGGCTCCCTTGATGTGTATGAAAAATATTTGAGGCCCCCAACCTATAACTAGCACGGTGATTGAAAAACACAGTGCCGTAGTAAAAACAATAATATCTCCTTTCGACATACTGTATCATTTAATTAATTCAACTTAATTTTTATCGGCTTTTTGTTTATTTAGAATTATAACTAATTCAGCATCTTTGTTTTCTGCCCATCTTTTGGCGGCTCCCACTTCGGGAAACACTGGTATGCACTATAAGGTGTAAAATAATAAATATATTAAATCTTTATTTTTCTTCCTCATCGAGATCCGGTCCATGTTTTGGACCAGGGTGGATCAGGTTCAGCGTTGACCTTCTCCCTCTCAGGAATTGTTATTTTGTTTGCACTGTTACTGAACCCTAGATAATAACCTTTGTCACATTGCTGCATGACTCACAGTATGTTAAATTTTGTCCCTTGTCCACAGTTTTAATTAACATACCCTTTTCGTGACATGCCCAACTCGTACGATCTTTATTTTACTTGGACCATATTAACAAATTGAAGCATAAATGTGTAAAGTATGTAGATGATCAATATTGGGCTTTAATTGACCCTTTTTGAATTATAAGGACGGGATATTTTTACATATCTGTTTCATTGTCCTATATTTTATAACTTAGCAGATTAGTGTGCAGGTATATTTATCAAATAATTTACACTATTCTTACCCCCTTTTGTTTGAAAATCAAATTCATTAGGTTTCCATAAAGAGTTCTAGTCCCATCCTGTCCAGATTAAACATATACGGCGCCCCCCCCCCCTCCTCCCCATTCAAATATAATTAATGTACGGCTAAAAAAAAAATAGTCAAAACGTGTTCGGAGAGGATAAGATTTACGAACAGAAGCTAGACAGGAAAAATTTGCAAAAAAAAAAAAGTTTTCAATAGAAGGCATGCATTGATTAGTCGAGCAGTGAAGGAAAGAATTTGGAATTTCTCGTGTCCTTTAACTTTACCCGCAGAACCGAGGAATTGGATTTATTATTTCACCCTCGGAACTAAAAAATATTTAGTTATTGTTTTCATCTCTGAATGGAGACACTTCACTCAAAGATAATTTTTTATCTCTCCCAACTGAAACATTGCCATGATGTAATGATGTGGTCTTATCGAATTATTGTTTGTTCGTTTATTTTGAATTTCGCGCAAAGCTACACGAGGGCTGTCTGCGCTAGCTAGTCATCACCACCCACCGCCAACTCTTGGGTTACTCTTTTGCCAACGACTAGTAGGATTGACCGTCACGGCTGAAAGGGCGAGCATGTTTGATGGGACGGGGATTCGAACCCTCAGATTGCGAGTCAAGCGCCCTAACCACCTGGCCATGCGGCCCATCGAATTATTACCCACTGACCTGAGATATAGGAGAGATTGTTTTACCCGCCTGATAATTAGGAGGTACTATTTTGCCCAAAATCTGAGGGTGTTTTTGTTTTATACAAGAAATTGGTAGCGTTTTACCTGCTAAAGTGATTATGGGAGACTGGAAGTATTGTTTACCCACCGAACCGATACTGGAGGTATTGTTTTACCCGCCGAACCGATACTGGCATATCAGTTCGGCGGGTAAAACAATACCTGGGTAAAACAATACCTTTCCAGTCTCCCATAATCACTTTAGCGTATTGTTTACCC